GCGCCCTGCTGTGGAAGGTACTAATGCGCTGCTTTTCGCGTGGCATTGCAAGGAGCTTCCCAGCCCTGAAGGCCCCGGGGTTCCCGAGAACGGGGAAATGTGGGGCCATGTCTTCATCGACGGATCCTGCCAGCGCCACCCGATCAAATAACTTTCTAGAGCTGCTTACGCTGTCTGCATGCGTGCGGATGGCGGTGCTTGCCTTGGAGAGGCTAGAGGCCCAGTATGGGCTCACCTTCCGCAAACGCCGCAGGCCTCAGAGTATGTTGCTCGTTGTGTCGCTGCCCAGTTCCTTGTGGTGCCGACCGCCATGTATTCGGACTGTGCCATGGTAGTTGCCCACAGCAAATTGCCATTGCCAGAGCGGTACTCTGACAAACGGCCCTACTCAGGCATGATAATGCAGGCCAATAATTTCGAGGGCCGGCTTGTAGAGGACATTGTTAAAGTAAGAAAGCTCATCTGGATGTCAACGAAGATGGCATCATATATAGAGAAAGATTTCTTCGGAGAGGAAATGCCGATGCGGACGCGAGCGCTAAGCATGCCCTGCAGCTTCACCCTTCCGACCCGCCCGGATTAGCCAAAGTGGGCAAGCTAATTGAAGCCGCCAGGGGCCATTGCATCCTTGCGGCCAATTTGCTCCCTCTGTGGCCCAAGCTCTCCCTGGATGTCCCCCTGGTCCCCTCTCCCCTTGCCGAGCGCCCTGATGGGCCCTGCACAGTAGGTCATCGCTGGGAATACTGGGCTGGCGTCTGGAGGTGCGCCGTTTGCCTCCGAGGGAGTAGGGGTTCGTCTCGCCCTCCCCCAGGTAGATCCCCTCGGGATTCCAAGTTGCACGCTGCTCGCCAGGATGCCCTAGGACACAGAACGGTTGCGTTCGACTGCTCGGACAAGTCAATTCTTTTCATATGCCGGAAGTGCAAGTGCCACTCCACTGGTGGCAAGGTCCGAGGCCTTGGTAGAGAGTGTAGGAAGCCCACGCGTGCTGGAAGTCGAGGTTGGGCTGCCCTGCGCAAGGGGTCTCACCCTCATTTTTCTCGTTCCGGCAAAGGTGTTACAGTGGATGACACCTCCTTAGCGCGTTGCTTCAATACCTTTCTGGCGTCGAATCCTGATTTTGCTGGCGATGAAGATAAGAGCTCCAATCCCACCAGTTCCGCTGGTGGTGGCCCCAGCGTGCGGCGGGGACAGGAGCTCGCGCTTCCCTCTGAGCCAGCTTGCCCCAGTGTGGCAGTTTCGGAAGGCGGCTTGGACAAGCCCAGCTCATCCTCTAGTGCCGCGGCAGCCTCTGCTGCCGCAGCCCACCGCCAGGAGGAGTCCGATTGTTCGGATTGACTTGCCGCCCGCGTTTGCTCTGGCTCCTTTTCGGCAGGCATGCGCCTGCTCGTGTGCATTGTGCACTCTTCTGACGCACGGCCCGCTGACCCTTTTGGCAGGCACCCGTGCACATGGCGCTCTCTGCACCTCGGGCGGCAGACCTCGTCGTCCTTGTGTGGGTGGTCGCTTTTAGGTTTTTCTTTTGCGAGGGTTCTGTTCCTTGGCTCTAGGCCAGGTGTGTGTGTGTCTTCAGGGAAGAAGGCAACTGTGTGCATATCCCACATTTGGGGCGAGGCCTGCTGTCGCCCTGGCGCTCTCTGCACCTGGGATGGCAGGTCTCGTCGTCCTTGTGTGGGCGGTCGTTTCAGGTTTCTCGCTCGGTGGCATCTCCGCCTCTCGAGCTGACTGGTCTTTTGATCGTCGAGCGCGTTCGTTGTGCGCGCCCCCGCGCTCGCTCAGCACGCGTGTCGGGCACCCCGCCTCAGGGGGAAGGCGCGCGGCACACTCGTGAGAAGGTTTTTTCTTGTTCTCCGAGCACGGGGGTGGTCGCTGGTCCGCCCTGACCGTGGCTCGTGTCGCGGTGCTGCTGCGGCCCAGGTAGCTTCGCGCTCCCGGCCCCAGCGCCTCTCTGCGGCGGCAGCGCGCTGGCTGCTCTCTCCGCCCGCTCAATTGCACAGTGTTGAGCGGGCCGGTCTGTGCTGCTTTTACATCTGCAGGGTCGCCTGCAGGTGCCTTTGTCATTCTCTGCCCAACAGGGCAGAGAAAGGTCCAGCAGGTCGCCCTTCTGGAGCGTGCTGTGCCGCCTGCCACGCACCTCGTGCACTTCAGGCAGTGAGGGCGTCGAGTCAAACAAAAAAAAGTGGACGCACAAGGGGTCCCCAAGACGGCCGAAGAGGCCCCCAAGGCGGCTTGGCACACCGCCAGGACGGCCTTAGGGAGGCCCAAGAGGACCCCGAGACGATTCAAGAGCAAGCGAGCCAAAAACGGCCTCAAGACGGCCAGGGAGGCCTTCAGGATGCTCCAAAAGGCCTCAAAGGACCCCCGAATGGTAACCATCGTTCCCTCTCCATAGGAACACGTACATTATTAGCACATCCGCTTCTTTGGTCTGAACAGAGTCCAAGACGGCCCAGGAGGCCCCAAAGACAGCCCCAAGACGGCCCACGAGGCCCCCGAGAGAGCACCAAGGGGGCCCAAATTGTTTGCCAGATTGCCCAAGAGAGTTCCAAGAGGATCTAAGAGAGGCCCTGGAAGGCCCCAAGAGGTTCCCAAGAGGGTCACAGGAGGTCCCCAAGGGGGCCCCGAGCGGGCTCCAAGACGGCCCAACCCCCCAATCACGGCCCAAGAGGGCCCCAGGGCGGCCCAAGGTTGCCCCCAGACGGCCCGCCCCAGCAGTGCACTGCAAGGCTTGTTGCTAGATGCGCGTGTGTCGTGCCAGTCTAATGAGAGCTGCGCGTAGCCCGCCTAGCTTTTAGCGGAAGAGGTTCGCCCCCGCCCCGCAGGTCAAAAAGTTTGTGTCGCGCCAACGCCTTAACCTCAGCAGGGCTCCGAGACACTACGCTAGCGACCCCGCGCCCTCACACAGTGCACGCGCGTTCCGCCCCCTTGCCAAGCAGTTGCCCCACTGGTCGGCCCATGCTCGGCCCCAGACGATCCAAGTCCAGCCCCAAGAGCGCTCAAGATGGCCCAAGAGGCCCCCAATATGGTTGAAGACACTTCGAGGACGGCCTCAGAGAGGCCCAGGAGGGCCCCAAGACGGCCTAAGGACGCACAGCCCATGATGGTTTCAAGACGGCCAAAGCGGGCTTCCAGGAGGACCCCCAAGAGGCACAATTCGTCACATTCCCGAGGGAAAACGTACATGGTTGGCACACTTGCCTTTTTGGGGTGCCAAAGAGGCCCCCACGACCGCCCTTTGACGGCCCAAGAGGCCCCCAAGAGGGCCCAAGCGAGCCCAGTGGGCTCCAAGACAGCCTAACAGAGCCCCAAGACGGCCCAAGAGAGGCCCCTGCGGACCTCAAAAGGTTCCCACGAGAGCCGCACGAGGGCCACGGGAGGTTCCCAAGAGGGCCCCCGAGAGGCCCAAGGGGGCCCCACGACGGCCCAAACCCTTCAAGACGGCCCAAGAGGGTTCCAGGAGGGCCCCAGACGGCCCAACGAACCCACCCAAAAAACCCAAGAAGGCCCAGAAATGCAATGTACATTGATTATTGCTAGATTCTTGTGTGCCGCACCATACTCTTAACACCAGCAGGGCTCCAAGATCCCGAGCAAGCGGTCGCGCGCCCCCACGAAGTACACACGATGTCCGTCCCCGTGCCGAGCAGGCCGAACTGCTTTCGGCCCATCCCGCCACCGTGCCTGGATTGTGGGTCGGGGTCCTCAGGGATGGGCCTTGGGGTCTCTGGGGAGAGCCCGTCGCATCTCGGGGGGCATCGTCGGGGCCTCGTGGGGCTTCCTGGAGGCGCCTCGAGGGCCTCGCGGGTGCCTCCCGGGGGCCCCTGGGGGGGGGGGCTCCCGTGGGCCCCTCGGGGCCGAGGACTCGACATGTCCGCTCGGTTCCCCCGCCTGGGCCCCCCCTCTCGGAGCCGTGTTGAGGGCCTCTTGGGCCGTCTTGGCGGCCTCTTGGGTGCCGTCTTGGAGCGTTGGGAAGCCGAACGGGCGATACCGCCACACACCGCCAGAGCGACGGCACAGGCATGACGTGTGCCTCTTGGGAAGTTTCTTGGAGGCCTCGTGGGAGCATCTTGGGCAGCCTTGAGATCCTTGGGCGTCTTGGCCCGATCACCTAATCCTACCCTCCCTGCCTTTCCCCTTTCCTTCTACCCTTCAGACCCCTCAGAGAGGGGGGACTCTGGGCCCGAATCTTGCCCTCATCCAAGCTGCTGCGGTGATGGGCGGGCAACTGGAGGTCATCAGCAGGGACAGATGGCCAGGATAAAGAAAGGGTGCCGCAAGAAGTGCCACGCGCGACATAAAGGCGGATGCTCGCTTATGTGTGTGTGTGTGTGTCAATATGTTGGTGGAGGAGGTGTGGTGCAAAGCGAGGATTCGGAGAACGAGCAACGACGTAAACATACATCGTAGGTCCGCGCGGATTTCCCGGATCGGCGCTGGACTCTTGGATCCGCGCGGACCGCCGAGTTGTTATGCTTGTTTCATTGCTCGCTTCCCGAAGGATGGATGAGCGACGCAGCGGACGAAGACGTGGAGGAGCAGGAGGAGGAGGAGGACGAGGAGGAGGAGGAGGAGGAGGAGGAGGAGGAGGAGGAGGAGGCAGAGAGGAGGCGGAGGACGGAGGAGGATCGTGGAGGAGGAGGAGGAGGAGGAGGAGGACGAGGAGGAGGAGGAGGAGGGGAGGAGGTGGAGGAGGGGGAGGAGGAGGGGGGGGGAGGGGGAGGGGAGGGGGAGGGGGAGGGACAGGGGAGGGGGAGGGGGAGGGGGAAGACAGGAGGGGGAGGGGGAGATGGAGGGGGAGGCGGGAGGAGGAGGAGGGGAGGAGGAGGAGGAGGAGGAGGAGGAGGAGGAGGCGGAGGAGGAGGAGAGGAGTCAGGAGGAGGATGATGTGAGGAGGAGGAGGAGGAGGAGGAGATGTCAGGACGGAGGAAGGAGGAGGAAGAGGTGGAGGATCAGGAGGAGGAGGAGGAGAACCTGGAGGAGGAGTGTCGGCGGCGCCGCAGCGGACCTCCGACACCGCCGGGGGGTACTACTGCGAGGAGCTGAGGGGCTGCCAGGCTGCCGCGCTCGGGCGCCGCGGGGAGGGGCAGCACGCTGAGGTGGGGAGAAGGGCGAGGAGGAGGCGGAGGAGGAGGAGGAGGAGGAGGAGGAGGAGGAGGAGGAGGAGGAGGAGGAGGGAGGAGGGAGGAGGAGGGAGGAGGAGGAGGACGAGGAGGAGGAGGGGGGGGAGGAGGAGGGAGGAGAAGCAGCAGGAGCAGCAAGAGGAGGAGGAGGAGGAGGAGGAGCATAATGGTGGGGCGGTGGTGGATACGAACCAGATCGGGTATCGTGCACTGGCACCTCTTATTTCATGGGGCGTATCTTGCCTCAGCCTGAAGTGTCCCTGCCCGACGCTCCTTTTGCCCGAACCATACGGGAGGTTGTCCGAGAGGGCGACGCCGGTTCTATATGCCACGGTAGTCTGCTTGTCGCGGGGAGAGGAGGCTCTCGCAGCTCACCGTGAGACGGCACGACAGGCGTGCTGAGCTTGGAGCAGACGCGACAGCGCAGCTTCATGGCAGTGCTTCTTGGCACATCTCGGGGGCTGGCTATTCAAACGACCGCTCGTCAGGGTACATGGAAGTGCTGGCTCCCAGCGGAGCGGCGTCTCGCCCTCCGTGTCGCCGGCGGGGACGGAGAGGGACAACTTTCGGCGCCCTGCGCGGATTTCTTGCATCTGCGCTGGGCCCCCCTGGCGGCGCCTCTGGCGCCGCCCCTGGCGCGCTCCGCGCGCCAGGAAGGGGGGGTCCAGCGCAGATCCAAGACATCTGCGCGGAACGCCGAAAGCTTATGCCGCAATGGAGCAGGATGACGGGGTGGAGGGGGAGGAGGATGAGTAGGAGAGGACGAAGACCCGGGGCGCGCTGTCTCTTCAAAACGAGGAACCAGCACCACAGGATGGTTGGAAGCTGTGAGTCTTGGGAAGCCGAGTTCGACTTCCGAAACGCACCGCGCTGGTATATCTGTGGATACGTGTCTACAGTCGACCCGCAGAGTAAGGATAGGCATCCCCCCTAAGGGTACCCTTGCATCCTTGCTTCCTGGGTCCATCCTTGGACACTCTCGTTGGCCGCGCCCCTCTCGAAACGCTTCGAAAATGGGCGTCCAGGGGCCTTGCATCCTTATCGCGCATCCTTACTGTGCGGGCTGACTGTATTTACACACATCTATATACACACATGCATGAATATGTTCAAACACACGGGATTCCAGGCCCCGGATGGGGGGCAGGCTCATTCCCCCGTGGGGCAGCCCAGGCTCCAGCAGCCCTGCAGCAGTTCCTAGCGTTAGCCGCGGCAGGCGGCGTCCATGGGCCCCTTCGACTCGCAGTCGTGCAGCCGGCAGTGCTCCATCGGACGCGCGCGGGGATGGTGGGCGGCTCAGGCCGCGCTGGATTCTTCCTCGCGCCCCCTCGTCCTCCTCCTCGCTCTGCCCATCCCAATCCTCTTCAGCTTCGCTCCCCCTTCCTCTGCCTGTGATCTTCCTCGTCTGCCGCCCTCTCCCGCTCCGCCTCCATATCGTTCTCCTCTCTTCCCAGTCCGTGACTATTTTGGCCCAAGATACTCCCTGGTCTTCGGCCCATCCCACAGCCGTGCCTGGCCTGTAGGTCAGAGGCCTCTTGGGGCTCTCGTGGCCCGTTTTGGGGCGCTCGTGTCAAGTCGGGCCTGTCCCTCCACAGGGGGAATACTAAAAAATTGTTTGAAAATATACTCTGGGGACATTTTTTTGTATTTTTCGACCGTTGTGGAGCATGTTTGGATTATCTTTTTTTATGTTTCGTCGAAAGTCCCCCTGCAGGGGGACGCGCCCGACTTAACTCAGGAGGGAAAAGCACGCAGACACCATGAATCGTCGATTCCCCAGAAGGACAGTATGGGCAGTGGGGTGGAAGACAGAAGCCCAGGACATATGAGGAAATTTATGGGGAGTCCTTTGATTTGTGTGTGGGTGTGTGTGTTTATTTGTGTGTCCCAGGGCCCCTTCCTTAACGCCCGTGGCCACGAACGAGTCGCGTGGGAAGCGCCAGGGAACCGCGGGACGGGGCACGCGGGGCGCCCTTCCAGACGCTCTGAGAGCTCGGGGCCCAGGCCCAGGACGAAGGAGCCAAAGTTGAGTCGGGCCTGTCCCCCTACAGGGGGGATCGTCGACGGAAAATATAACATACCCTGAAAATAGCCAAACAAAAAGTCCAAACATAGCCTGGGGACTAGTGTTTGCTTATTTGTTCACCTTTCTGGGGTATGTTTGGGGTATGTTTCATTCTTCGTCGAAAATCCCCGTGTAGGGGGACAGGCCCGATTTCAAGCCAAAGTAATTGTGGAACTCACTGTGGAACATTTGGCGGCAAGACGAAGGAGCAACATGATGTGGGCGAGTTGCCAAAATCATTGTGGAGGGCGATCCATGGAGAGGAAGCGTGTTGCCAAATGACGCCCAGATGTCTAAACACATGTCTTAAGCATGTGTTGAACATGTTTTAAACATGGTTTTAGCATATGTTTAGAGCAATGTCCTACATTGTAAACACGTCTGGAATTCAATGGTAGGACTGTTAGGATGTCCGTTGCCGTGGCATCCACAACCTTTATATTCAGTCCTGATGGCTGAGGACTGATGACTACACTGGGCCTGAGGATGCTCCAACTCGTGCCTCGCGGCACGGTGGCGGATCTTGCCTGGCAGGCTGCAAGCTTCCCGGCAGATAGGGCACCGCTTGCCCGTGGCCGCACCACGCGCGCGTTCGCGCTTGTTTCTCACCTGTTACTGCGCGCGTTGGCCTGGGCGACTGCCGAGGGCGAGCGGGCATGGGTTCGCCGAGCTGGGCCGCCACTGTGGGGAGTGGCTGGGCCTGGGACTACAGCGGCAAGATGAGGCACGCCCGGCCGCCCCGCAAGCGTTGCGCCCGAGCCGACGGCAGCAAGTTTTCCAACGGAGCAGCGGCAGCCCGCCGCTCGGCGCGGTGCTCCACGGGGGGACTCTCCTTCGGTGGGGCGGCGCCGCCTGCCTCCCCGGAGGAAGAGGAGGAGGAAGAGGAGGAGGAGGAGGAAGCGACAGAAGGATGAGGGGAGGAGGAGGCGGAAGGGGGAAGGGGGAGGGGGAGGGGGCGAGGGGGATGGGGGAGGAGTGAGGGAACCCAGAGGGGCCGCAGGGACGGCCCCGAAGCGGGGCCGCGCCTTGCCGTGGAGGGACTGCCCCCCTGCAGTTGGAGGTTGGCGGGCGGTAGCCTCGTGCGGGAAGCCCGCGCTGTGCCTGCCGGTGTCGCCCCGGCACCCTGGCCTGCGAGGTGCCTGCGAGGGTGCAGTGTCGTGGGCGGAAAAGAGGGGGGTGATGACTAGGGGGGGGGATATCATGGCGGGGGCCATGATATCTCCCCAGATTTCATGGCGCCTCTTCTTGTTTCATTACGTCCCAGGCCCCCCCGCTGGGCCGCGCACATGCCGCCGGTCATGATTTGCACCCCCCCTCTTGGACACCCCCCTCTTGGCCGCTCCCGAGCAGTGGAGACCCATGCCAAGGAGCACCCTGCTTGCCTCCAGGGTGCCCTGGCTCTCTTGGGGCTCGATGGTTCTGCGATGGGAAGCGTGACGCTCCCGCACCACGAATCCATGGAGACGTCCTGGGGTCTCAGTGAGTCGGGATTCTCGCGGAAGGTCTCTCGTGGCCGGGCCTCCACCGTGCTGTGCTGCTGCCGCCCCGACGCCCTGGCCTGCGAGGTGCCTGCGAGGGGCTGCGTGCTCGAGGGCGCGAGTGCCGCAGTCCCGTGCCGGCGCCCCGTGCTGCGCCCCTCACAGAGGCACATGCCTCGCAGGCTGCGGGCTGCCATCGGCACGGGGCAGAGACAGATGGAGGGGAGGGGAGGGGGAGGGAGGAGGGAGAGGAGGGGAGGGAGAGCAGGGCAGGAGGGAGGGGAGGCGGGAGAGGAGGGGAGGCGGGAGAGGAGGAGGGGGTGGAGGCAGGCTAGGTGCGCTCGCGTCATATCTGACGTCCTACCCCTCCCACCCATCCCTTACCATGGCGCTGATTTTCTC